CTGCTGTGAAATATAAAGGGCAGTTAATCCAATGATCAGTAACAAATGAGAAAATGTTATATGTACCATCAAATCTTTTATTGTATTTCACTTTCAGGCACAATAATTAAAGTGAGGAGCCTTTATATCCAGGGGAAGAAATATATAGGGGAAATTTGTACCAAACCCTTGAAATGTCACAGGATAATTTGGGACACTGAACACTTGATTTTGGGGATGGGCGGGAGTAGTAATAGAAATGAAATGTGAGTGACTTTTAAAAGAATATCTTGATGTATTTTATTTTTAAAATGCATTTTTAATAGTGACAGGAGGAATAAATGAGTGAGAGCCCTCTCTGAAAATGGAGACAGAGCAAGTGGATTTGTGTGTTTATATGTAGATATACACAGATGGAGGAAAGGAGGGAGATTGAGAATACATCCTCGTATAGTACAGAAGTATTAGGTTCATGTGCTTTGGTTAGCTACATTACGCCTGAGAGGGCAAAACTTCTATATAGTGTATCTCCTACTAGACCCAATAAGTCTTTATACCATAATACACCCTTGTATATTTAGAATAAGCTATGGGCGACATGATTAGAAGTGCCTTAGTGATTTGGGACACTAAGTGCCATTTTTCAATGAAAGGCATAGACACTTAAGGGGAAATAAAGTCCTAGAAGGACTTTTTGAAGATTTAATTGTACATCTTTAACAAAACTAGCAACAAAACTATTTCAAAATGTTTTTCAGAATGTTTATAGAATTCCCTTTTTACTCTGGGTCCAGCTCTATGGATTGAAGGAAGGATACCTCCAACAAATTATATGGACTTTAAGGTGCACTGAAAAGACCATTAATTGTTAGGACTGAGTTGGGGAGGGAAGCTTTCTTTTCATCTTTATAGTACATTTTGTGGTTCTGAATATCCGGGGGGTTAATCTGTATGTTCATGTGAGGCCTATGGTAGCAGAAAATTATTCTCTGTGTGGACTGTTATTTTAAAACATTATTGGAGGCCTGGAGCTGGGTCTAGGCAACCTATTTTTATTTATTTAAGCTACAATAATAAATTTAAGAAATCATTAATATTTTATTAGACTAGACAATACAATGCAAGACAAGGCACAGCTCTGCACCAGAGCTAGAAGCAAATGCCATAAATCTCCTCGTAAAGATCCTTATCTTAGCTTTCTAATCCTCATGAGTTGTACCCTTTCCAAGGGTCTGAGGACTGGATATTCCCTGTCTGATTTCGGGTATATTCCACTTTTGAAGAAAAGAAGAAATTGGAATGATGCATTACATTTTCAAAGATGGTTACTTAAAACTGCTCAGAGGTATAGGCATTTTGAGTAGCCCCATGGAAAACGATTTGTGAACAGAGTATGCAGAGATGAAGCAAACATACACAGGAAAAGCTGCTCATTGCATGCTTACCTCCTACACCAATATGAGTACATTAGACAGACAGAATAAGCATTTTTTTCTATTTAGGAATATATTTGTTGTGTTAAATACTTTTTTTAGTTATTTGAACCGATGAATATGGTAGCAAGCTTTTTGTAAGTGACAATTCATGCACCATCCTTATATAAATGAATTCACATCAGAGAGAATATCTTTTAAATCAGAAGGGTGCCATCTTGTTAGTAGGATCAGTGGGAACTGTGCAAGAAAGCATAGTACTTCTTGCCCTTCTTTGCCATAGGCACTCCAAACATGAATATATAGTAAATAGAATCATTTGCATGTTTTATTTCTAGCTATTATCTTTCATCTTTTTATTTTATATGAATGCTTTTATTGAAAGAGCATCCTGCTGTAATGGAATGTTCCACTTAGGGAAAAACTACAGGAAACTCCTCACTAATCAGAAAACTTCAGGGTTTCAAGAACTTCATGATTTCACGACATTTAGTACCTAACATCAGTTACAATCCATACAACCATTGCAATCAGGTTTGTATTGGTGTACCTGCAAGGAAAAAAAGTGTCTGTAAGTATCATAATGATAGTGGATCCTGAGTATCGATTAGCTGGTAATAGACAATAACATGCAGTGAAAAAAGAGATGCCGTCAGCATATTTAAAAAACTGACTCAGCTGCTGGTTAAAAACACTGATTTTTAAAATTATTCACTATACTTCTGAGGCATTACATTGATTTGCTTCACCCTCCTGCTCCTTTTCCCTCCACCCCAAATCTTAACTCTGTTTCCAGTTGTTCCCAAAAACCTGCGAGAGCGGCATTTGGGGAGAAGCCTAAATGCTGGATGGAAACTTTGAGGCAAAATGTATACATCATCACAGACTTCAAACTCATTTCTGTCTGAGGTGCAGGAAACCCAGTCTGAATTTTATTTAAAACCTCTTTGAAAATTGAGGGCTTTTTAATATTGCTTTTAACATAGATTTAAATTTATTTCAGGATGCCAGCGTTGCAAGTTCCAAAGATAATTTGAAATAAGGGTTAGTATTATTACATGATGCACTAGGGTGCATAACCTTAAAGGTAATATAAAATTAATCTACAATGAATGTAGTAAATAATGGAGATTTTCTTTTAAAATAAGTCATCTACACACTGCTTGTAGTAATAGCTATATAACCTCACAGAAATCAGTCTCACAGAAAAGAGTTTAACAAGAAAAGAAGATGAGTCCCTATGACCCCTGTTAATGATTAAGAAACAATGCATTTTAAGTGTTTTTATCCTTATCTTGATTTATAGATGTGGACAGTGTTTCAGTTCTGCATAAAGCGGGCTCAGATTCTCAACTGTATTTTTAGGTGCAGGGAATCATGTCCTCAAGGGAGAAGAGCTCACTCAGTTCCACTGCTTGAAGCTAGGAGTCCCTTGCAAATTTCAAGCAGCAGATGTTCATTAGCAGCAAGCAGCAATGTATTTTTAAAGTCATTTTTGAGAAATTAAGATGTTGCCTTAAAGTACAAAATGGAACACTAAAACTACATGAGACCTTTTTTTTTTAAAATGATTTTTTTTAACTGCCTCAAATAATAAATGAATGCAAAGCAGAAGGCATCCCATTAGTTATTTAATATAATAGGCATTCCTCAAGAACTGGAACATTCCTGAAGAAACACAATCAATGTCCTGCTATTCTGTGCCTATAATTACCAATCCTCAAACTATTGCTATGAAATGTACCCTGTGGATTGCAGAAATCTACAGATACATTATTAAAGTTTCTTAATCTGACACTCAAATCACATAATATGCCTCAGCTAATGAACTCTCTCTCTCTCTCTCTCATTGTTGATCTGTCCCTATTTTTTAATATCCTTCAGTTTCCTTGAGGAACAATTGGCGTGTTTTTCTTTTTTCAATACCTTCTGCAGCTTGGAGTGTACCCTTGATGAACTGTTCAAGGGATTTTGCTCTGTCATTAGTCCTCTCAGCATCCTGCCTGGTTTGTTCACCATCTGCCGTCACCTTGGTAGCCTAGTGATCCAAAAATCAGGAAAAGTATAATTAATGGACATGACAACACTGCACCAGGAGATATTATGACTGGCTGAATCTGCTTGCAAACCTTTCCTCAGGCAAAAGGCAATCAATGAATTATTGATCAGATGTACTGGAAATGACATGCTCTGCTCAAGTATAGAATTAAATTTTATTACCTCTTCCATTATATAGAAACTTTATTTTGGGTTCTTGGAAACCCTAGTCTTATGGCAGAATAAACAAAGGGAATCAGGATGAGAATATTCTTTGAATTTGTTTAAACCAAAGTTGTTCAAAAGATTTTAATGGATGCTACAGCCTGTGCTTTCCACTGGTTTCACGGTTACGTGATTTACTGTTGACCAAGTGCAGTGTACAGCACTATCTACTTGTTACCCTCCTTGAAGGGTAACAATAAGCTAGATGTTTCAATAAGCTGGAGGTATTTCAAATCAATACATTAATTAATAGAGGAAGAAAGAAAAAGAGAAAGAGAAGGGAGAATTACTCTTTCAACTATTGTGCTTTGAAATATTTTGCCTATAAGACTTTAGAGTGATCAATATATTTTGACTATAAGTATGTGATTTATTACTTTATTGAATCATAACAGCACCAATATAGAGATGAACATCAATTATAGATCTGAAAAGCATGTCCAGGAGGAAAAAATCTTAATATTCTTGATTTTGTTTTCAAATTGAAAATATGACGTTTTATGATTTGCCCTACTTTATGGAGAAAAGTGTTTGGTGAGGGGCCTGATTTCCCAGAAGGTAGTTTTGAGAGATTCTAGGAAACAGGGCAATGTGCTTTTTCCAACTCATGGGGGAAAAAATGGAAGATCTTCTGTGATCTGAGGAAAGATCAAAATCTGTCTAGATATTGCTATGTAAACCCTCTTCTCAATTATAAAAGCACTGCAATCATGTAGCTACAGGAAAATAATGCCACTTCAAAAAAAAAGTCTTAATCTTGTCCCAATTGGCTCTGTGTAGATCATTACTGTACTCACCAGATTTTAACCAGCCTGTCCAGGGGAACAATTCTTATTGCTATTGTACAAAAAATGTATGGAAATTCCATTAACATGTAATTGTTTACAGTAGTTGAAATGAGTATGCCAAATTTGCCCCTGAAATGAAATACATGCAGCTAAACCACAGATGATTTTGGTTCAGTTTCATGACCTACCTTACTGTAATTACCTCATAATAATCCATGTTAAAAATAGTTTAAGTACACAGAAGTAGGAACAGTGTTGAAAACATGAACTAGGACACCTGTTTTCATCCTGACCACTAGAATATCATTTCTGTGCAAGTTTAGGCTCTATTACTGGATAATCACATCACATTCTTTAAGGTCTAAGGCTAGAAATGGACATCTTAAGTGGTGCATGATCAGCTGTTCCATGATACATTGTGGCACAGCTGATCACGCTCCAGGGACATCTACAGACATCCCTGGTTGCCTTGCCCTCCATTTTTGGGAGCAGGAGAAATCCTCTTTAGGGACTTCCCCACAGGCATACTTGCAAGCAAGGTTCCCTCCCCTCCCTGCATTTCCAGATATGCATGCTGGGAAGTCCCTTGCAGAAGGATTTCCCCATGCATGTCTGCAAGTGTGGAGGGGGAAATGGGAGTTCCCCCTCCGCACTTGCAAGTGCCAACAGGGAAATCTGCAAAGGATTTTCCCCTACGCACACCTGACAGCACGGAGAGGGGAAACGTACTCCCCATTCCATGCTTATAAACCAGCATGAAGAAATTCGTCTACCTCAGGTTTCCTGCTTATCCAGACACATCCCTGCAAGGACATGTCCCTTCCAAGGATGTGTCTGGGTAAGCAGTGGAAGTCAGGGCTTTGAGGTGAGTATCTGCCAGCAGGGGTTCCCTGCTGGCAGACACCCACCCTGTGTAGTGCATGGGGGAATTGCTCTGCAATGGATTTCCCCAGGTGTACCTGCAAATGCTGAGTGGGAGGATGTCCCATTGCGGGTGTCCCCCATCCATGTATACAGCCCATGCTCCACGCTGCTGCCAGGAAAGTATGCCAATGATGTAGTGTGCATTCCTGGCAGCCGTATGGGGGACAGGAGACACCTCCTATGGGAGATCCCCAAACTCTGAGGTTGCAGATACCCCTGGAGAAATCTCCTACAAAGAGATTTCCTGTGCACTGCACAGGGTGCATGCCTGTAAGCAGGAAGCCCCTGCTTGCAGACTTGTACCCTGAAGTCCCAACTTTCGCTGCTTATCTAGATGTGCCACTGGAGGGACATGTCTGGGTAAATGGGAAAGCAAGGGTGAAGGAGGCTGATTCTGTCTGGGAATTTCTGGGTGTGCAGGACCAGGTCCCACAAGCCTGAGGAGTCCCAGCCCTAGGGAGGCTGGAGAGCCTGGGCAGCTTCACACTGACTGAGCTCTTCTGCCATTAGCAAACAGAAATGGGCTGCCATAAAGTGGTCCAGTTTAATACAACCTTCCGTCATGGCCATAAATTTAAGCACCTGTGGAATGATAGAAGGCAAGGGCATCTACTTGCTTTCATTCTGTGCCACCATATACATTTTTATGGCAGCACAAAGATGACATCTGTCTCCATCCTAAGGCTCAAGAAAACACATTGACTGTCTAGATACAGAGCTATAGAATTAGCTTGTTGAGATACAAAGGTCACCCAAGATAGGACACAGGTGAAATAAGAGAATCATCTTGATGGACCACTAGTCTTATCCAGCATGACATGTCTGATGTCATCTTCTCTTTATGTATTTGAGAATTTAGGGACAGGGAGTGTTTTTCAAGGTCTGTGAGTCCTACAAACCTAGAGGACATATACCCACGTATGTCATTCTTATTATCCATCACACTTGGACACTGCCCCAAAATCTGAAGTCAATATAAACAGCAGTGCCTATGCACAACCCTATGTCTTCTGTTTAAACTTATTTCTGGTAGAACCAATGCTACTGAATGGAACTGTGAGCATTTCTTCAACCTCTGGATGTCACTTGGGAACAAACTCCAGGTGATTCTATACTTCATGAACTGCAGACAATAAAGGGTGCACACAATGCTAACCTGTGTTTGGATAATTATGATTCATTGTACAGAGGCAGGGTCTAGCTCCCTATCCAGTATTTCCCTCTGCTTGAAACTAATGTTGCCTCTGCTCTTATTCTCCAGATTTAGTGTCAATTTTCTGTGCAGGGAAATTGTAATTTTCATGGGTAAGGCAGGAGAGAAGTGTTTTTTCTGAGTTGAGGAACACCTTTTTGAACAAGGAAGGTGGAGGGGAAAGACTCAGGTTGGCTGTGTAGAGGTCCCATACGAACCTTAGTAAAACACAGAAATAGCCTTTTTTGAAAGCAAATGCTGAGAATCATAGAATCATAGCAAGTTAGGGTTAGAAGGGACCTCAGGAGGTCATCTAGTACAACCCCTGGCTCAAAGTAGGAACATCCCCAACAAGATCATCCCAGCCAGCCAAAGCCAGGTCTTAAAAACCTCCAATGATGGAGATTTCACCACCTCTCTGGGTAACCTGTTCCAGTGTTTTACTACCCTCCTAGTGAGAATATTGTTCCTAATATCTAACCTAAAATTCCCTTCTGCAACTTGAGACCAAGAGTTGTTCTGTCATCTGACACCACTGAGAACACTCTAGCTCCATCTTCTTTGGAAACACCCTTCAGGTACTTGAAGGCTGCTATTAAATTCCCTCTCAGTCTCCTCTTCTCCAAACTAAATAAGCCCTGTTCCCTCAGCATCTCCTCATAAATCTTGTCCCCCAACCCCCTCACCATTTTTGTTCTCCTCCTTTGGACTCTCTTCAATTTGTCCACTTCCTTTCTGTAGTGGGGGCCCCAACACTGGACACAGTACTCCAGTTGTGGCCTCACCAGTACTGAATAGAGGGGAATAATCACTTCCTGCTGGCAACACACCTACAAATGCAGCCCAGTATACCATTAGCCTCCTTGGCAACAAGGGCACACTTGTTGGCTCATATTCAGCATATTGTCCACTGTAACCCTCAGGTCATTTTCTGCAGAGCTGCTGTCCAGCCAGTCATCCCCCAGCGTGTACTGGTGCATGGGATTTTTCTGTCTTATGTGCAGAACTTTGCACTTATCCTTTGTTGAACCTTATGAGATTCCTTTTGACCCAATCCTGCAACTTATCTAGGTAACTCTGAATCCTAGCCCTATCCTCCAGCATATCTACTACTCCCCACAGCTTGGTTTCATCAGCAAACTTGCTGAGGGTGTACTCTATGCCATCTTCCAGGTTGAAGACATTGAGCAAAACTGGTCCTAGATCTGACCCCTGGGACTCCATTTGATACCAAGTTGTCTATTGTACATCAAGCCATTGATTACCACTCTCAGAGTCTGGTGCTCTAGACATTTTTCTACCCACCTTACAGTCCATTCATCCAGCCCATACTTTCTTAGCTTGCCTGCAAGAATGTTGTGAGAGACCACATCAAAAGCCTTGCTAAAATCAAGATACACCACATCCACTGGTCTCGCCATATTCACAGAGCCAGTCATCTCATCATAGAAGGCAATCAGGTTAGTCAGGCATGACTTGCCCTTGCTGAATCCATGCTGATTAGTCCTAATCACCTTATCCTCCAAGTGCTTAGAAATGGATTCCTTGAGGACCTGCTCCATGATCTTTCCAGGAACTGAGGTGAGGCTTACTGGTTTGGAGTTCCCTGAATCCTCCTTTTCCCCTTCCTTAAATATGGACACTATGTTTGCCCCTTTCCAATCATCCAGGTCCTCTCCTGATTGCCATGAGTTTTCAGAGATTATGGCCAGTGGCTCTGCAATCTCATCAGCCAACTCCCTCCCTTGGGTGCAGCCTATCTGGACCTATGGACTTGTATATGTCCAGCTTTTCTAAATAGTCCCTAACCTGTTCTTTCACCAGTTGGCTGCTCAACTCCTCCCCAAACTCTAGTGTAAGAGATGACCTTGCCTGTAAAGACTGAGGCAAAAAAGGCATTGAGCACTTCAGCTTTTTCCTTATCCTTTGTGACAAGGTTGCCTCCCCCATTCAGTAAGGGACTGACACTTTCCCTGATCCTCCTCTTCCTACCAACATACTGGTAGAAACTCTTCTTGTTACTCTTCACATCCCTTGCTAGCTGCAACTCCAATTGAGCTTTGAACTTCCTGACATTATCCCTGCATGCCTGAGCAAAACTCTTATACTCCTCTCTAGTTATTTGTCCAAGTTTCCACTTCTTATAAGGTTCCTTTTAGTAGCTTAGTTTACTGAAGAGTTCCCTGTTCAGCCAAGCTGGTCTTCTGCCATACTAATCTTCCTGCGCATCAGGATGGTTTTCTTCTGCAATCTCACTAAGTACATTCAGCTGTCCTGCCCTCCTCTCCCCTTCAGAATGGCTTCCCTGGGGAACCTGCCCATGAGTTCCCTAAGCAAGTCAAAGTCTGCTTTTCTGAAGTCCAGGATCCTTACTCTGCTGCTCTCCATCCTTCCTTTCCTCAGGATCCTGAACTCAATCATCTTGTGGTCATTGCTGCCCAAGTTGCCATCCACTACTGCATTTCCCACCAATTCATCCCTGTTTGCGAGCAGCAGGTCAAGAAGAGCATGGCTCCTAGTTAGTTGCTCCAGCACTTGCACCAGGAAGTTTTCCCCAACACTCTCCAAAATATTTCTGAAATCAGAGCATGGAATGAGAAAATGAAGGGCTGGAGCATGAGGGAGGGAGAACAGCGAGAGGAGAAGGAATCAATAACTGGAGGGAAAAGAATAAAATCTAATTAGCTAATGAGGATATGGTTGTGTGGCCAAAATGGAAGAGATGGGGGATAACAGCTACACTGTTTGTGAAGAAAAAATAAAAAGGGCACTGACAGAGCAAAAACAAGAAATAGCATTTTCTTCTACACTTTACATTAAATGTATGGCAACTTCCTCCTTTCTACTTCCTCCTTAATATGCTCCCTAGCACCTTTCACTTGTGTTTCTGTGACCTTCAGATTATAGGAAGGAAGGAGGAAGATGCTTTATTATTTGGAGCCCTATAATTTATTCTTGGCACTAGCCATCACCTGGTAGTTAGATATGTCTTTATATAGTAACTACATTCCCAACTTCTACATGAGAGCAAACAGCCCTCCTCTCACCCCACACACTCCCCCTAGCTGGGCCCTTCCTCCCACTGAAGAGCAAAGTTAGCAGTTGGAACCTCCTTACAATCCCAATGCTAAAATGACAAACTGCAGTCCAATTAACTATCCATTGTGGGGATAACTGAAGGACCAGAGGCACAGGCAGCAAGGCAGGTCTGAAAAAAACAACATGGTAGGCCTCTGGCAGCAGCAAAGTAGCAGGGTGGCAGTGTTCACATACCCTGGACTAAGATGAATCAAACAGTTCACACATCTGAGGGTTATTATTTCTGTCTATAGATTCAACAAGACAACACAGACTGAACACTCCGTTCGTGTTTCAAGATTATCCCTTCAAGAAAAGAATCCCTTTTTAAAAAAATTTTCAAGGGTAAGAAAAAAGGAAGAAAAAAGGATGCTCACAACTCCTGGAACTTGTTCACAACCTCAAGGTTGAGAAACCCAAATCTAAGAAGTGTCATTTTCTCTGCTTTCAAATATAGGGTCCTCTTTAATAGAAGGTCTTTAAGATCAGACTTTTTAATTATGCCTGGTCCCCTTGTAAGGTGTGGGGAGTAAGCACAGATGAAGGAAAAGAGACAATGAATAAGACTCCTTCATTTTAGCATTGGTGGTATACATACATGCACATACTCTCTAAGTTTATGGAAGTACACACCATAATTCAATAAAAATTTACAAAATAATATACATAATTTACAAAAGCTAACCCACTCAAAATTTCTTAAGGTTGCAATGCTCCTCTTTAGGGTAAGATTTTAAAATGAATTAGAATTCTTCAAACTCCAGATACCTATTCTTAGCTGTACGTGTTAAAAGTACACACAGTACCCTGCGTGTGTGCTAATGAAAGTACAGAAAGCAAATGAACTACTTTGCTCAACATCATATCTTCAGGTGTGCTCACTCTTTATATGAATGCCTTTTAAAAAGTTTGCGTTTCATCAAGCATGGTAATAATTCCTTTCTCGGATTTCCATACCACTAGGTGGCATACTTTATGTTATTTTCCTTTCAAAGTCTCCTGATAACCTAACTACATTCTGCACTGAAATAAAAACTTTCCCAATAAAAAAAGAATAACTAGTGCACAGAAGTGGCCTCCTGGAGACTCACTTTCCTCAAAGGTATTTTTTTTTAAAGTAAAGATATTTTTTTTAAATTGAATTCTCCCTATAAATACAGTTCTAATGTTTGATTACTCCAGTGATTGACTCTGAATGATAACTAGATATGATTTGAAACCAGAATATACTGCCTTGCTGTGCAGTTCTGCCCAGAACCTGAATCAATTTAGCTTGCCATTTCTTCTACAGCCACCAGAGAAACAAGCAACCACAGCAACTGGATTTTTTTTTTACCATTTGAACTGCAGAAACAGCAGAACTTTTTCTGTAATATGCCTTGAGACTGCCTGGGCACTTTATAACTCAGAGGAATTCACTGAGTGAACTTCTGGTACCTGTGTTGTGACAGGCAATCCCACAAGAGAAACACATTGTATTATTTCACTGAGATAGTCAGACCCAGGAGGTTTGAAAGAGAATATGGAGTTTTTAGGGGATGAGTTTGCTGATGCAGAAACAAAGCAAAAGCTTTTTTGAGAGGGAGGACTGACTTGAAGGGGGAAATGAGAGAAACTCACATATTCAGTTGCTGAATGCCTCAACCAACCAAAACCAGACTTCAGCTACATGAGACTAGCAAGGTAATAATTTCACAGTCTAGCCACTGTTGCTTTTGTCAGCAGTCCTTTTGAGACTTGTTCAGATTTGCCACAACAAAGAGTCTCTTTGCTTTAGCAATAGCATTTTAAAATCCTTTCATTCTTGGGTGCTGAGACTATATCTCAATAAACTGGCCCCTAAAAACAAGCTGCTGGGGGATGGGAGTTCAAACCGGCTCATTTGATTGAAAAGTGTTTTATACTTTATCCATTCAACTGTATTAAATTCACCTCCAAAAAAGAATGTTCTCTGTTACTGAACAGCGTCCCCAGGACCAACCTACAACCCTATGGACTCACTCTTGTCAATAGTTCGTTCATCTCTGTGTAAAGGGTATCCAGGTTTTTCTCTGCCAACTGAAGGAGTCTCTCTGGTGCTCGTTGAGGAGATAACAAGTGCTGCAAAAATATTTTAATTTATAGATTTAAGTGTTTCAGAAATAATGGAAAGAAGAAACATCAAAGCATGCTTCTCATTGTGGAATACACCTATTTTTTACACTAATTACTATTGTCATACCCTTCCAAAACTCAGGGGTTTTAACATAGGATAGACAATATATGCTGCAATATAACTGTTTTATGAACTGTTAAAAGACCTTTACTTTATTTTTAATAGAACTTCATTCTTTTCTTGACTGAAACATTTATTTGCATCTATGTGCACAAACATATATTATCACTGCGTGATTAACTTATTACAATAAGTCAAAATAAATAATTGCAATAACTGTTTACCAACTGTGACAAGTTTGAAGTAATTAAGCCTTTATTTTTTCTTCTTCCCTACCTCTAACCATAGCTGTAAGTTTGAGTGAATAGCTGCCAGTCTGTACTGAAGCAGCTGTCTGAGGGGTTGTGTGTATCTACTGTGAATGTACCTTTAATTCCTGTGTTGTGTTCTCAAAACCATACAGCATTTTATATGGAGCAGGCAGTGGGGCACTGAGATTGACACTCATAACCATCTGGTTTAGTTGATCCAAGTCATTGAGAAGAACTCCTGTGCATTCATCATCACAAGCTGAGGAAAAGACAGTAAAGCATATTTACTCCTGCTAAGTATTTAAGGCAGATATTTGACTCAGAAATATTTTACAGCACACACAGAGTTCAGTGAAAGATAATACTACTAATCTCAGATAATTAACCCCAACAAGTGTACAGTACTAAGAAATAAATTATAGAAACAGCAACTAGAGAAAAAAAGGTCTTATTGCCCAGAACCTGATAATGGGGCAGCATAATATATAAAACATAAAGAGCAAAATTAGCAGACTTAACTGGTTTAAAGCAGCAAAAATTAGCATTACATGTTATAGGCTAGCCTGTATAAAATCCTAAATTAGCCAAGCAATTTGGAAGAAGTCTGGAGGAAGAAGACAGGTAGTACAGAAAATCTAAGGAGCACTAAAAAGAGAACTATGGATTGTGCTACAATGTGTTTGACTATAAGAAAACCTACATTCATGCCATTTATATACTTTATAGATTTACCACACAATAGTGTGGCTAAGTGTGTTAAACTGTAATATAGAGAGCAAAAAAGGTCCATGTGAACATGCTGACCATTTTCCATTAAGCTTTTTTTCCACTTCCTTTCATTATCCATCTAATAATTTTTTAATGTATGTGTCTTGTTTTGCAAATGCTGTATAGCTTGAAAAATGCTGTTGTGTATTACACATGCCTTAAAGGAATTTACAACATTTCTTTCCACGTATTTTATTATCCATTAAAAGAAGCTCACATAACCTTTGAGTCTCATGTTATTTACCCTACAGACAGAAAATTCACCTCATAGATAGGAAATTATTGGTATGCTTTTCTGTGGATATAAGTCTCTTGTCTTCAAGCACAAAGGTGTTACATAGGATCAGCAGAGCTATATAGCATCTCAGGAGGTGGAGTAATTGTAAAACAATGAATACACTGGGGAAGCTAAGAGACATACAGGGCTGTGCCTAAAATTTTACAAGGATGCAATTATATCAGTCAGAAACACCCTCTTAATGGCTAAAAAACCATTCAACGAAGTGTACATCTTTGTAAAAATATTAGGTATGGGAGATGAATTTCAATGCAGAATGACAGTTTTTTCCTGAAATCTATTGTTCAAGCAGATTAAATTTCTGCTCTTGATAATCCTCAGTCACACTCATCAGAATGATCTCTCATTCTGTACTGGGCAAGGACTGTGGTTTAATGTAGCAGGGTATTGGTTCAAGTACTGATACAGAAAGAAAAATGGATACTGATTTAATACACCAAAAAGCCAACATGCTAGCTGGAGAGGCATCTGAGAAGATGGATGCTGGCATATGGCACTAGGAAGAGGGTAGGCAAGTTTCACTAGAAGGAGGATATTGCTATTTTAACAGATCCTTTCTTCATTTAATTTGTCTTCCTACCCCTCAATATTTTATTGCTTTAGCTGAAGTGCAATGTAATTGTTCTTGTTGGGGCCTATATATTCTGGTTTATACCTGTATGACAAAAAACCTCTTACTACCCCCACTCTTGTTGTCTGTATCGGTGCATTTAGAAGACAGAGAAACACAGGGGAAATGAAAGTTTTACAGCAAGAGTGTGTTTTTTTTTTTGTTTTTTTTTACCAACTTCTATTTATTCCATAATTGGTCAAGACACACAGAGCTGATAACCATTTTGGAGGCTACAGTAGAAAGCTAGTGCTCTTTTAAGCTGAGGAAATTATTTTAGGGGTAGAATTCATAGCATTACACAAAGGACTGCATGCTCTGGTGTAATGGACTGTTTTTTTATCCTGATGCACAGTATTTTAAACAATAAGCTACTTCTATTTGCCCTCAAATTTTTTGGAGTGGATGGTAATAAAACCTAAAAATTGGATGTTAAAGCCAAACTTAATTCACCGTGATAAGAAAATCTTGAATAGCTTATAAAGACATGAAGTGTTCTCAATGAATAAACAACTGCCATTTGGTAAGTGTGCTGTGAGCATTCAGTGTGAATTAACACCTCTTGCATAATAATCATGCTGAAAAGAGGAACTACATCAAGTGAGGAACACAGTTGACTAGAAGAGACAGGGCTAAGTTATTCCAATATACAGGATGAAACGAATTGGAGCAATAGCAAATATTTCAAGAACATGATTATATTTTACATGACTAAATATTTCCAAGGCTTGATCCATAAAACTGTCAGGATAAATTTGTGTCTAATACTAAGAAATACAGTATTAAATTTAGATCATTATAGCAGAGCACACATGTAAGGGGCAAATCATGCAGTCAATATTATAATCTTTCAGTTAGCAATTAACACAAAATACTGCATTTTCAGTTTTCACTACCATCTTTCATGCATAACTACAAAAAACTGTAACTTACCTCTTAGCAAAAACCATCAGAAGGCATGTGTCCAAAAAAAAAATACTTAAGAGACATTCATCACACAAGAAATTACAGTGTAAGATATACATGTTTTATGGACATTAGCCCATTTCCCCAAATTTTATGGATGAAAAATGAATATGGCAATGGAATCAGATCTCTTATCTCAGATCTCACTATATTTAGATCATCTCCATGAAGTCCTCTTTATTCTGTAATTCCTCTTAATGGCCTGCAGATCTCTGAAAAGCTCTCATTTCCTCAATATATTTTCTCCTTCCTTATTTTTCAAGATGCCACATTATATAAAATGTTCATTATAAAAATATTAGTGTAGCATACACAGTAATGATCCAAAACCTGTGTAAAAACACTATTTAATGTCCTCCACGGGCTTCTTCTGGATGAGGAGGGCAGATGTGGACTCATTCCTGAGCTGATCAGTGCTTCTACTCTACGGTAATAGTGAATGCTACACTACTGTAATAGTGAATTGTTACAAATCTCTCTTTCTGGCCACTAGGTTCTACATGACTGGTGGAAGAAAAATATTATGGTTGAATTTTGCCTTGTGTATCTGAAACCAAACTACTCATCATTAGTAAAATGCCAGCACCCATATTATGATCACAGCTATTTTCCTGTATAAGAGAAATCTGTGAAATCTCTGACATCATTATGTGGTAACTCTTGACAACTCATGACTTTTTAATATTAACTATGTTTTTGTCCAGGATTATTTCTTCTGCAATCCTAGATATGGCCAGTCAGTGCAGTGAGAGACTGAATTTGTAATCAATCCCGGGTGTTCAACTGGATAGTGTATAATATGAACCTAATTCTTTCTTTCTTAATTTTTTTCCTTCATCAGTAGGTCAAAAACAAAGGGAAAAATAGCACATATACAAAAGAGGTGAAATCCTGGCTTTCTGGAATTTACAGAAGAATATTGTCAGTGAATTCAACGGAGCCAGGATTTCATCCATGACCTGTCTCTGAAACCTGGTGAAATTTAGGTTCAGATCTGGACCAGGTTCATTTCTGCTCTGCATTATTTGTAATCCCCTGTTTACTGTCCTTGACCAACACACAGCAGCTAGCAGACTCACAGATGTAAAGGTTCCGGGCCTGGCATCAGGGTATGCTTGTTAAAGGACCCTTGATAGTTTTCTTTTTTCATTGGTAGAATGCAGGTTTGTTGACTACATGGCATCGTTCATCTCTTTTATCATGGTCATAGTAAATTAACAAATATTCTATATGTGTAAATATATTTTCTATCTTCTCTGTCACACAATAATTATTTCTATCCTTTCTTATTAGTCAGAGAGCAGAAGTCAAAGTGCCTCCTTTTCATTTATGTCCTGTTTGTATGCAGGCACCATGTTGGCAATATCTCTCTAAGGAAAAGGTTTGCTGTTTAAGTGTTACAGCAAAACTCAAAGTACTATAGGCTAATTTTTTTTAGAGGCAAGGCCCTAAAAGTTCTCAGTAGGTGAATTATTATTTCATTATGAATTATACATGTTACAGTAAAGCCTGGAGGCTCTACTGAGAAAAGGAACCAATCATGTTTGTGCCAGCCACTGTATTAGCATACGGGAAAAGAATCAGGAAAGGACTCAAATTGGCTAATTAAGCACATAAATAGGACTTAGGCAAAGTTTATGCATCTAAGTTCCAAAAAACAATTCAAATTGTCCCTGTGGTAGTAGCCACAAAACTTACTAAGCACTGAGGTGCACATTAGGTGCCTCTATTTTGGACTGAATGGGTGCATCCACATGAGCAGGGGCATGCGTTTACAGCAGCATAAACAGTAGCAGCACAAATTTGTGCTACTACTTTATGCTGCAGTGCATGCCCTTGCTCATGTGTACACAACCTAGGCACCTAAACCTGACTGCTCTTAAATTCCTTCAAAGTCTGTTCAATGACTGTAAAGATCCAAGGTGCCTAAACTGGTCAGACTGAACTGTACCCTGGAACACTTGGAAGTTGCAATGCCTAAGTGTAAGTGCCTATAGAAACATTTTGAATTATGTCCACAGTCACCATCCTGAAAAGCTTACAGTCTAAGACCACAGTCATGGAAAGCTTATCCACATACTTAACTTTATGCTTTCTGAGCAGTTCAATTTAAGTACCATATTTAAGTGATTCTAAGATGATCTCCCATCCATTTAACATTGGGTTAGCCCCTTGTCTTAAAATCAAGTAGGAAGGCAGTGGCAAGGACAGACAGCTGCTATGGCTTGGGCACCAGTCCCTACCTGGAGCTGGGGTTGTAGCCACAGCTTCAGCTGCTATAGGAGAGAGTAGAGACTTGGAGGGGGGGCAACGCTGTGGGGAGGCAGGCAGGGGGCAGAGGTGGCAGGGAGGCAGACACAAGCACCTGCTCCCCCACTACCTGCAGCATTCATACGGCGGGGGGGGTGTTAAAGATGACCCTCCAAAACAAATTTATAAATTTTCCATGTATAGAATCGAATTATCAGAGGGCTGTCTTAAATTCAGGGTCATGTTAGATCTGAGTAAATATGGCAGTTACACAGTGTATAAAAATGTACATGTGCAAGGTTTTGCAAGAATTGGGGCTAATTTAAGACAGGATCAACACACTACAGATGTGACAGAAATCCCACTG